TTTAGGAGTTTAGGGGTTTAGGGTGTCTGGTTTTAGGGTTTAGGTTTAGGGGTTAGGGTTTAGGGGCTCGTTGGGTTTAGGGTTCAGGTTTGAAGGTTTTAGGGTGAGGGTTTGTCACTTTCCAGGTTCGGGGCAGTTTTGTGTGTTCATATTGGGCTTCAAGGGCGGGCTAAAATTCAGGGCTAAGGTGTTCGGGTTTAGCACTTCAGGTTTAAAGCTTAGCCTGTGCTGGATTTGGGGGTGTAGGTTTTCATGTTCTCAGGGGGTTCGTGTAATTGGGGTCTTCTGGGATTAGGGCAAGGGACAGAGAATCCCAGCACGAATTATCCGCAACGCTTACCCCAAATTGTTGAAGCTTGCTGTCGGAATTCTTCTAGAACTTATGGCGTAGGGGTTTCTGAAACCTGACACCCTAAACCCTAAACCCTAAACATTGAAGCCAATGACTGTTCTGAATACACCAAGCTTGTGCAAAGCAGGGATCGGAAGTTCAGGAATCCCTGATTGTTCAGGGTGTAGGGTTTAGGGGTTTAGGGTTGGGGGGGTTCGGGGTTTAGGGTTTAGGGGTTTAGGGTTTAGGGTTGGGGGTTTAGGGTTTAAGGCTTAGGGTTTAATTGGAAGCAGCCCCAACTTCCACTGTCAAGCAATGAGCATCCTTTGCTTCAAAACTCCACGTAAGAAGCTCAGAAGCCTGGCACGAGACCATGCTGCATCCGATTGCGAACATTTCCAGGTTTAGGTGTAAGAGGCTCAGGATTTAGGGATTAGGATTTGGGGCTTAGGGCTTACCTGTAACCGAAAAGACCTACCTTTTTAAGGAACTATATATTGAAACTATAATAAGGAACCCTAAAAAGGTAGGTCTTTCCGGCTACAGGTAGCCTCTGCAGGGTCCAGGCTCTCGGGGGCTTTCTGGGGCGTCTGGAAGAGCTGCAGTCAAAGGAAACCATGGGCCCCTAGTATGGGCCCTTAACCCTGGGATACTAAAGACACCTACTATATACTCTATATGTACCCTTAATGGTCCCTTAACGTTCTACTCTACACTCACAACCCGAATCCTCGAACCCGAAACACTTCAACTCCAAAGCTTCATATTGTAGTACATCGTTAAAGCGATGCCTGCAAATCCAAAGGCTGAAACTGGCAGAACAGCTGCAGACAATTCCGTTGGGCATTGCTTTGCTGGATGGGGCGGAGCCGCTCGAAGATGTCGCTTGACATAGTAGTAGTAGTCGTCGTCGTCGGCGGCGTAGTGGTAGTGGTAGTGGTAGTGGTAGTGGTAGTGGTAGTGGTAGTGGTAGTGGTAGTGGTAGTGGTGGTAGTAGTCGTCGTCGTAGTAGTCGTCGTCGTCGCAGTGGTAGTGGTAGTGGTAGTGGTAGTGGTGGTGGTGGTGGTGGTGGTGGTGGTGGTGGTAGTAGTAGTAGTCGTCGTCGTCGTCGTAGTAGGAGTAATCGTTTTAGTAGTAGTAGTAGCAGCTGAATGACAGCTTTGTGGTGTTGGCCTTAGATCTTAGGGCTCGCTTTGTTTTTGTGTCCTCGAGGCTTACACTAGCTTGAGCGGTTTAGGGTTTGTGGTTTAGATTTTGGAACATGTGAGAGCTCCGAGGTTTCGAGTTAACTTAAAATTTGGGATTCAGGGTGTTGGTGACTCCGCATTATTGAGCCTATCGGTTAGAGTGTTGCAGATACTAGTTATCTATAGCACAGCATACCCCAAAACCCTATTAAATGTGTTCTTGCCGCAATAATATAGCCCCTATTACATTGTAATACTTTTTGTAGCACAATGTACCAAACCTTCTCGAAGCTAGTACAACAAACCGAAACCCCTCTTCAAGCTATTACAACAAGCCCAAACTTCTTCCGGGCACAGACGACAAGCACACGTTCCAAACCAAAACCTAGTCAAACTACTGCAAGATACCCCCCAAGCCCTATTCAAACCATTACAGTATACCCCGAAAGCCTACTCAAACGATTAAGGCCCCTACGTTTCAGCTGAACCCGGGGTGGGATCTGCAAGATGCAGGGGAGGCTTCTGCCCTGAAGCGACAGCCCACTCAATAACTCCAGAAGAGTGGAACGCTGCTAGGGTTCAGGGCTTACCGCTCTGGGTTTAATTGGGGTTTGTGGTTTAGGGTTTGGGAGATCAACCCTATCCCGAAGCTTGTTTCATCCTCCAGCCTTTGAGACGATACATGTTATTGAAGTCTGAGTTTGGATTGTTTGTGGCTTGGTTTGCACACCAACAGTTGCGGAAGGCTTGCTTCGTGTCGATGGGTTCGCCTATGGTAGCCAGCATCCGTAATCAAGTGCAAGCCATCTGGGGGTATAAGGTAGGTCCCAACCTTCAGCAACCTGCTCTACTGGCATTGCGGCTTTGTTGCCCAAGTTCCTGGGCAGTGTAGGACTTCTCCGGAAACCCCCCCCAAGTCTTTGGGTGCTGTGCTTGGGGTCTTGGCGGCTTTAAGATCATGCGATGACCGCATAGGGACCAAGCGCCAGAGACACAGGCGCACCCGCTGTTCAGACGTGACTTTTGCAACCATGAGATTCTACCAACATTGGCTGAAGACCTTGGAAGGAACCCGAAACCCAAAACCTTGGGAGGATCCTCTTTGAGTAAGCTTTGGAGCAGAAAGGAAAAGACCCCCTGTGCCTCTGTCCCCCGGGCCTGAGGAATCGGATCTGACATCGCTGTGCTCCTTGTTCACAGCGGAATGGTGTTGAAGCTTGGGGTTTAGGGTTTAGTTTAGGAGTTCACGTCTCAAGGGTTGAGGGGTTCGGGGTTTGCAGCCGGGTTTAGGGCTTGGCGATCGGGTTTGTGTAAGAAATACTCCTCAAACTCTAGTCGGGGGCCTTCATTTGGACCAAGGGAGCCTGCGTTAACGGGGTACAGGGCTCCATTAACCCCTCGTGAACTGAATCTGTGAAGCGCCTCTGCACCATGAGCTTGTCCAACATGCACCGGCACACCCTAAACCCCAAACCCCTAAACCCTAAACCCTAAACCGACAGTGTTTGAAGCACCTTTTTGAAAGGACTCGGTGGTACGATGCGTAGATGCATTGGGCTCGGACCGTAGGTTCGAAAGCCATATAGTGGTACCCGTATTACAAGGTGGGGTTGTTGTTGTGCCTCTCTGAAAAGAGCTTGCTGACGAGTTTCAACGTTGCTGTTCTGTTGATGGTACGGTTGAGTTGCAGCTGTGCCTAGCCTTCTTCTTTTCGTGGACTTCACACGTCGTGAACAAGTTCTGTTTAACCCGAAACCCTGACAGCCCACTTGTTTTCCTGCACCCGCCCAAGTTTTTCGGTCTTAATAATATAGGCCAGCTTCCATTTTAAGCCCCAGAACCACCTAGAAGCTCAAGAAGCTCTGTTTAGCAGTTTTCCCTAAACCCTAAACCCTGGTCAAAGTGCTTTCGTTGTACCCGTCAACCTCGAAAGGCTTGTCCCAGTTGTGAGTGCTGAAACCCTGGGCCTTGACGTTGTGGACCGGTTGTGGGCTGTGTAGGGTTTGCGGACTTCGGGCTGTTAAGGCAGCTTCAATCTCCGCGGCCCGAGGTTCCGCCCCAAACCGCTGCAACGCCGGTCGGGTTTAGGGTTTAGGGGTTTAAGGGTAGCTGAGGTGGAGCAGAGCCTGGGTTCAAAAAAAAAGGGGTTTAAGGATTTAGGGTCTAAGGGGAAAAGGGATTTGGGGTTTTTAGGGTCGCTGAGGCTCAGAGGAGCTGCAACTCCTCGTGTCGAGCGACCTGGCTCGTAAGATGCGGAGTAGGGCTGGTCAGCCACCCGAACCAGAAGCAGAATTTTCACTTCGGGAGCACTTAGTCCATACTCCTGAGCTCTCATACAGCATGTGTGATTTTCGAGGGAGAGCAGGGATCACGAGTTGGGAGCTTCGTGTGGCATTTCGAGATTTCGGCTTGCTCATGGATATCGGCAAGACCCCGAGCACAAGCATTGACTCATATGGAAGTTATCGTGTTTAGTAGATTTGCATGAGCGCCACAGCCCATCCTTCCTCTTGCTCGAGGGTCAGAATAGTTAGTAGCATGGTTTCCCTATAGCCCTACAGTAATTACTCATACAACCCCGTTAAACTCCTTAGTGTAGATCCCGAGTAGACCACTTTTAAGAACCCTTTAAAGAAGCCCTGTTCCGGTCATTAGAGGGCCTGCATTGCACCGATGCAGAGGTGGTCGTCCAGCTATGGTGGTCGCTCGAGTGAGGCTGTGCTGTTGGGGTCCCTGCTCGGGGCTTAGGTTTAAGGCTTGGATACCCGAAACCCTAAACCCTAAAATCCTAAACCTCGTTCAAAAAGGCACCCTAAACCCTAAACCTCGTTCACAAAGGTACCCTCAACCCTAAACCTTTTATCAAAAGGGTTTCGGGTTTAGGGTTTCAGAGTCCGGATCTCAGGTTCGGGGCTTCGGGCTTCGGTTTCAGAGTTTCCGGTGGTGGCGTTTTAGGGTTTTAGGGTTTAGGGTTTTTAGAGTCGCTGCAGACCGGATGCAAAAAGAGTTTCCGGTGGTGGCGTCTGGTCTTTCACCTGGGGCCTAGGGTTTCTTGAGCCGTTCGGTTTAGGCAGGCTGCTGCTGACGAGGCCGGACCCTCGAATGAGCCGACTTGGTTCGAAAGGTAGCATCGGGGCCTTAAGAATTACCTATACTTTGTTTTTTTTTGGGGGGAGGGGGTCTTGCTTTTATTTATAGTGCTATAACCTACCCCAAAACCCTAGTCTAATTATTCAGAGCCGGACATTAGGCTTGACGAAGCTCCTCCTCCTTCCTTGCACGCAGCAAATTTCCGCTGCAGCTGAAGTCACTGCAGTTTCCGATGGATTCTTCCAGCTTTCGGCGTAGTCTATCATACGATCTCGGCAACGATCTTAGGCTCCTATCATCAGCGGTAGCTTCGCTCATCAATCCCTGCGAGGCACCAGGCTTAATCCGGAAAGACAGGCACTGCTACGCTGAAGAGATAACATCTAACCTATAGTCTCCATTGTACTTCCTTTTTTTGGTAGAACCAAATATATAATAAGGATTCAAAAACAATGGAGACTATAGGAACTGTCTTGTCTCCAAGCTAAGTTCCAAACCCTAAAAGAAGCCAAAAGCCTCCTTGCTTCCTGTGAAGGCCGATGAGCCGTCGGGAGGTGCAGGCGGACGAGCGAGAAGCAGTGGCAGTAACTGACGAGGCCCTCTTGAGAGTGCCACTGACTTGAATGTTTTGCGATCCGGGTCCTTATACTTATTAAAATGGATCCGGTTCTGCTGCGATGTTGAGATCTCGAGCCAATACTGAGCGGCGCAAGTATGGTGTGCGGATCGGGGGAATGTCGGGGGGTTACCATGTCTACAATAAAGCCGTGTTCCCTGTCGGGCCCTTGTTACACAAGTGTGTAACCTGCAGGAGATCCGTATAGGTCTCTAGTTCTGAGTTTGAGAGAGGGAGAGGGAGGGAAGTGACGAAAGCATGTGGGCTTGGAGGTCAGTAGCAGGTCCATACTCCCGACAACCGTAAGCCTAAACTAAGTACATCTCCTGTTTTGGTCGTGTTCGATGACTTCTGAGATAAGTTGAGTGTTTTGTGCAAGTGGCTCAGCAGCAATTCATTGAGTGAAACTGGCAAGCAGCAACAAACCGAAATGTACCAGGAATGTCCGCGGCGAAATTCTACGTCATGTCTTCCAGGTCAGTGTGTAGCCAATGAGTACGTAGCAGTTTGGCACATGGCGTATTCCAACAATGTGGTGTCACTGGCTCTGGTTCGTGAGCAATCCGACCTCTCAGTATCCGATGACCGCTCGTTGGACGGGAGGCTTCGTCAATGTCTTATTGGAAGGGGGCTCTACCAGGAGGTGAAGCAACTTTTAGAGGACAAAGCAGACGCGAACTGCCGGTTGAGGTACAAGCTTGGCCCCAAAGAGTTTGATGGGACACCGCTTACCTTGGCTGTCAAGCTCGACAAGCCCAACATCGTTCGCTTGCTGATGATCCACCGAGCTAATGCACAGTCTGCGTACTCGATGAAAGCAGGACGCACAGGCGTGCTGTGGAAGGGGCCCGCGGTTTGTGCCACCGTTGCCAAGGGCAACTTGTCAATGATGAGGTTGTTGGTGGAGTACGAGGCAAATCTGCAGGGCCGTGTGATCAGCTTCAACGACGAGCCGAATGTCACATTGCTGTACGATGCCAGCTACTTTGGTCATGCTCATTTAGTGCGATATCTGTTACAACAGAAAGGCAATCCTGACATTCCCGTGAAGTTTCAAGACGACATGAGTATCACCAAGACCGCCCTTCAGGTGTCTGCTAGCTTGGGACACGATGAGGTAGTCCGAGTCCTCCTCAGTGCCAAAGCCCAGATCTCACTTGGAATCGATTTCGGTCCACAAGAACTGAAAGATGCAATCGATGGCTGCCACGTGGAGGTGCTGCGGCTACTTGTCGATGCCGGTGCAGATCTGTTTGCAGGTACGGAGGGAAGGAGAGGGGTGGACTATCTCTTCCAGGCCAACAATGCGGTCTTGACTGCTGCCGCCGCCAAAGGCTTGCGAGGCTGCGACGAGGATGTCGTCGCCTGTATGGGCTTGAAAGATTTCGTGCGGTTTCTGGCCACGCCCGATGCTGAAGAAATCCTGGGTGCCGTGTTTAGGAAGTGCGAGCTTCGCTATTGGAAGAATGAGAAGCGTGTGGCATGGAAAACAGCTTACCTACCTCATGGCGATCTTAACGTTGCGGTGGGGCCGGCGAAGGGCCATTTTGATGATAAGTTTCACAAGGAGATGGAGTTCGCAGCAGGTGTTCGATCAACCATCCCAGACCAGGAAGACGAGCTAGTAGAAGAGGAATTCTTCAAGCAGCTGCTGCCCTATCGATTTCAGAGGTTGGATCAGATCACGCAAGTGCCCATTGAAATTAGTCACTGCGTTCTCCCTGGCTTACATCGCAACCCTGAGGTGCTCTGGGTTCTGGCATCCGGAGTGAATGATCGTGTCTTTGACGAGAAGGGTGCCCATGCGATCATCAATTTGGCGTGGCGTGAGACATACCGTGTCCACTTCCTGAGTTTCGCTCTCGACCTGCTAGTGGCGTGCCTCTTTTGGTCCTTGGCATTCCTCATGAACAACGAGTACGAGTGGCTTGAGGAGTGGATGATTTGGCCATGCCTGATTGTCGCAGCTCTGGCTTGGCTACGAAATGCCTGCATGGAGTTCCTGCAATGCCTTGGGTTCCATGTCTACGGCAAGCTGAGCGAATATTTTCTTTCGCTGGAAACGCTAGCCGATGCCTTCAGGATATTTCTGACCGGATTCAGTTTGACTGCCTTGGTGATAGATTGGAAGGCCTGTGCAGAACGCCAGGAACTGCGACTCATATTCGCTATAACTGGTTTTGTCCGCTGGCTCAGGGTGCTGAACACTCTCAAGGGGTTTGAGAGCACAGGCAAGCCCATGCTTCCAATTCTGCAAGCTATTCCGGCAACTGTACCCTTCTTCTTCGTGGTTTTCTGTTGGTTTGCCGGCTTTCTTCACATGTACTATTCTTTTGGGCTAATGAGCTGGTGGCAGTCGATGATGATCATGTGGCGCCTGGGTTTCCTGGCCGACTTCTCCAGGAATGAAATGAGGAATGTGACGCTCCTTTCTCAGGGAGAGGCAGACTGGGAGTGGCCGGTGGACATTGTGTTCCTTGGGGACCAAATGACCCTTATAAAGTAGGGGCCCTCTACCCTGATACTATGAATCCCAATATAGTATATGAACNNTGAAAACCTTTTGGGGATCATTTCGTCCGTAAGGTTGGTTGCCATGGGCGTGAGTATGTCGATCATAATGATGAACATCTTGATCGGCGTCTTGGCCGAGAGTTACAACCGAGGATGGGAACACCGAGAGCGCTTATTCCTTCTGGAGCGTTCGCGCTTGGTCCTGCATCACTTTACCATCTACACTGGCTGGGAGAAATGCCCGTGTGCTTGCGCAAAGCGACGAATTCAGAGCGAAGCCAACTCCCATCACGTATGGTTTGCCAATGCGAGAGATCCCTCAACATGGGGCGAGATTCAATCGCAGTACGATGCCGACGTCATGAACGTCCATGAGAAGGTAACGGAATTGAGGCGCGAGATCCGGGAGATGCACGAGAAAATGTTGGAGAAGTATCAGGATCACTCCGAAGAGCTGCATTCTGGCCCAGATCCCGTCATCTCGCGCAGGCTCGGGAACCTGGAATCTTGTGTCCAGGGCATGCAGGCGAAAATGGATTTAGTCCTCAGCAAGCTCGGCGACTCTCGAGCAAGCTGATGTCAGATCCGCCCAGCACCACGCTCCGGCAGAAAGAAAACAACTTCGTTGATTCATAGAGTTGCTTTCACTTAGAGGCGTTGTCCTGGAGAGCTTGGAGAGGCGTGACTGGAGAAGCTTGTGAGAGTCTGTTGTATCACCGCTGCTTGGCGCGGTCGAGGCCAATGTGCCTTGAATCTGCTCGAATGAGCTGATGTTGTAGTTCCTAGCCCCGGACACCTCGCATGACTCCGTGGAGTGCGAGTGCCAAAAATGTCCAAGAAGTGTTGCTACATGGTTGTCGGAGCCCATGAGCCTTGCCATCTGTGCAGAAAGTTCAGGAAATTTGTTTATGGCTGCGGAATGCATAGAGTAAGTTCGTTTGTCACAGCTAAGACTGGTTTCAAGGATCAACGAATGAAGCTGTGTCCGAGCTGCGCCAATAGAACGAGCAAGCGCCATCTGGGCGAAGGGAAAGTCGCGGCAAACAACGCCGCCGGCCCCGATCATCACGAAAGGTGAGCCCAAGTGCTCGCATCTCGATGGTTCTGTGGTTGAAATCGAGCCTGTCCTACACTTCAGCACTCTTCAGCACCCCGGACACTAAACCCCTCAACCTTGCGATGTAGAAAATGACTGGTATATGACTGAAGTAGGCATAAACCCAGGCAGGCAGGAGGCAAAGACCCGCAGGCAACGCTGCTCCTGACCGATGCCAAGGACCGCGAGCATCTCGACGAGCGTCAGGTAGTTTGGGTTCGGAGTTTGCCGGGCTTTTTTCCACCAGTGGAAATAATTGGGTTCAGGGTTGGTACCGGGGCAGCAGGAAAATCTCCGGGGTCCACGTCACGTTGGTCAAGTGCTAGACACTCGATGTCCTCCTGAAGTCGGATGATACCCCTCGTAGAATCCTTTTACGGACCCGTTAAAAGAACAAGTACAGTATCCCTTATATAGCACCCTTCAATGACTTCAGAGGAGCCTTTAGATGGAACCCTTGTAATATCCCTTAATTATGCAGGACCCTTAGAAGGAAACACAACATGCGTACACATCGTTTGAACCACTTGTGTCAGCATTTACCGAAACAGCCTTCGGACTACCTGGCGAAGGATCCGACTATTACGCACTGCATGGCTGCGCGGCCGTACACACATCTGCCAACAAGGGCATCCGCACAAGCTAAGCAGCTGATGTCAAGAGCACAGGGGATTGAGGAGGTTGCTGCTGAGGCAGGTATATTCCGTAAGCCAACTCGACCTAGCAGCCGATGAGCATTGTCTTTGCGGCTTTTTAATCAGGTTGATCTTCAGTGCATGTCATCCAGGGTATGTCCATCATGAATTCTGGGGGACGCAGAGTGACATGCTCTGGGGCCGCAGGCACGCTGGCTTTGTAGACGTGGTAGTTTGGATCTTGGCAGGCTCAACGATATTTAATGCCGAATTTCCAGCTTTCCGTGAACCTTGTAGGCTCTAAACCTATACACTTTGTTGTGTGGGTACCTCAGCCACAGCAGGCAGAGTTGCCTGGGTTGCCTTCTTACACCCTGAACCGGTTGCCCCAGGCATGCGTTTACTTTTGACTTTGTCTTCGCTCGGGGCACGCCGCAGCGGGAAGTTTGCCAGGCCACATGCTTGCTATGGTCGCGGAACTGTGTTGCTTCTGCTGCCTGTGTTAGGCAGGTAGGTACGGCTAGGATCTCTGACTGCATTGACCACTTATTGTTATTACTATTTCTCTTAATATTAAGTGTCAATATTGATATTTTTATTATTGTTGTGTTTGTTGTGACTAATATTACCAGTAGCAGTGCTGTCGACCAATCGCCAGGTGACCAAAATATATGATTGTTGTTATTCTGGTTTTTTGTTATTATTGCCACTAGTATGGTTATTACTCTATCACTATTATCCGTAGTAGTAGTAGTAGTCGTCGTCGTCGTCGTAGTAGTAGTAGTAGTACGGTTTCCTTGGCTCTGCCACTACCACCACATGACCATCTGGCGGTATGGCCGAATGATTGGGTGTTGATGGTTCTAAGTTCACGCATTTATAAGGTACTGTTATTCCTCTTCACCCTAAACCCCAAACCTTTCACCTCAAACCATGTGTCGTGTTTTCGTCGTGGCATTTCGAGAGCCGAGTTCATGGCAAGTGGTGACCATTGGTGGCCACTCGAGCATGCGAAGCCACCTTCGATTTAGTTCAGGGTTGAGGGTCATGAAAAGAAGGGCTGTTTAAACGGGGTTCTTCGCGCTCCAAAGGTGGGTTCCAGAAGTCTTCCAGAAGGGCTCCACAGGTTCTGAGGGTGTTTTATAACGGCATTGCTCAGATTTCGCTCCCAAGCCCCAGAACCTAGACCCTAATCCAACCCCAATCCTAAAGGCCTACACGTCGAGTTGTGGCAGTCAAGAAGGTCAGAACGTCTTGAACCACAGCCCCCAATCCCAGACATTCCTTTCACCGATCACGGTGATTAACCCTAAACCCTAAACCCTAAGCCCTAAACTTTAAACCCAATTACGGACTAGGTGGACACATGCTTCGCCTGGAGAGGAGTCCTGGTGAGAGTATCGAAACATGCAAGCACCCTAAAGGCCTAATCCCACAACTCAAGAAGCTTTATAAACACTCCTACAACCCATATAGAATTTGAGAAAACCTAGAACATCCCATTCAATTGCATGGAGCATCTTACC